GCGGGACACTAACATCGCTCTCCCTGTCATCGGGACATGCTTAGCTGCCGTACGAAAAGCTGCAATCGTGGTAAATTCCATTCGAGATATTCCAGTTCAGTGCACAAGTGCAGCCGTTGGACTCCCCGCGGCCAGGGCCGGTCTCCCACCTTTGCTGCCTCGCTCGTGCGACGATCAGACCTTCAACGCACCGTCGTCGGGCGGCCAGCACTCGGGAGGCTGCGACGCCGGCGCCGGCGGCCTCGGCCACGCGGCCGCGGGGGTGGCGACCGCTGTCACCGGTCGGCATCGTCCCCGACGGGGGGGGGGGGGGGACACGCCCGACAAGAAACCCAACAGTCTGGCGCGTTCGGCGGCCGTCACGTGACGCCTCGGATCGCCGGCAGACGTATCCATTATTCAGAGGAGTGTCCGTATCTGGTCGGCGTGTACGTGTACCCGATAGTCCTCAGTCCTGAGAAGGCCGCCCGACACATGAACACGACACAACTCATTGGCTGGTCGACTCAGAATTCACTTACACGTTGTAAGCAGCTTATTTGCCACAATACGAGAGTCGCACAAGGAAACCGAGGAAATGCGTGTTGAGCCATGCCAGGATCCCGTCGCCTACAAACACAGTGGGGTTGGATGCAACTTCGCAATGCGTTATCAGTTTTCCTTACGCCAAGGTTTCGCACGTGGCGACATCGTCCCAGTGCCTTCATTGAGACTTCATTATCACTGGCACACTGTTTTACTTCGGGATTCGAGGGTCGTCACCATCCCCTTCACGGCACCAATCAGGGCATTTTCGTTTCTGTTGTTACATGCTCTGATAACACTTCCAGGAACGTCCGCCGATTCCAGACGCCTTCTCCATAACCCTCACTACTCAACAAAACTCCCGTACATCTCAATGTTATCCGCCATGGTCCTTTTATCCCCCTGCTGCCGGCCGGGTCGTCACCCTAGCCTGACCACGGCGTCAGGCTGGGGTGACAGGCCGCCCGCAGTCCTGACATCAGGCTGGGGTGACAGGCCGCCCGCAGCCCTGACGTCAGGCTGGGGGTGACAGGCCGCCCGCAGCCCTGACGTCAGGCTGGGGGTGACAGGCCGCCCGCAGTCCTGACGTCAGGCTGGGGGTGACAGGCCGCCCGCAGCCCTGACGTCAGGCTGGGGGTGACAGGCCGCCCGCAGTCCTGACGTCAGGCTGGGGGTGACAGGCCACCCGCAGTCCTGACGTCAGGCTGGGGGTGACAGGCCGCCCGCAGCCCTGACGTCAGGCTGGGGGTGACAGGCCACCCGCAGTCCTGACATCAGGCTGGGGGTGACAGGCCGCCCGCAGCCCTGACATCAGGCTGGGGGTGACAGGCCACCCGCAGTCCTGACGTCAGGCTGGGGGTGACAGGCCGCCCGCAGTCCTGACGTCAGGCTGGGGGTGACAGGCCGCTCGCAGTCCTGACGTCAGGCTGGGGGTGACAGGCCACCCGCAGTCCTGACGTCAGGCACGCTCAGACTCGCGTCACCGGACGGGCCGCGCAGCACACCTCGTCCGTACCAGCCATTGTACCGACCTGGCGCCGGCCCGCGAACGCAGCCGGACTGCGCTGTGCCATGTGTGTGCCCACGGCCCGCACCGGACCGCGCTGTGCCATGCGTGTGTGTCCACGGCCCGCGCCGGACCGCGCCGTGCCATGTGTGTATGTCCACGGCCCGCACCGGACCGCGCTGTGCCATGTGTGTATGTCCGCGGCCCGCACCGGACCGCGCTGTGCCATGTGTGTGTGTCCACGGCCCGCACCGGACCGCGCTGTGTCATGTGTGTGTGTCCACGGCCCGCACCGGACCACGCTGTGTCATGTGTGTGTGTCCACGGCCCGCACCGGACCGCGCTGTGCCATGTGTGTGTGCCCACGGCCCGCACCGGACCGCGCTGTGTCATGTGTGTGTGCCCACGGCCCGCACCGGACCGCGCTGTGCCATGTGTGTGTGCCCACGGCCCGCACCGGACCGCGCTGTGTCATGTGTGTGTGTCCACGGCCCGCACCGGACCGCGCTGTGCCATGTGTGTGTGCCCACGGCCCGCACCGGACCGCGCTGTGTCATGTGTGTATGTCCGCAGCCCGCACCGGACCGCGCTGTGCCATGTGTGTGTGCCCACGGCCCGCACCGGACCGCGCTGTGTCATGTGTGTGTGTCCACGGCCCGCACCGGACCGCGCTGTGCCATGTGTGTGTGCCCACGGCCCGCACCGGACCGCGCTGTGTCATGTGTGTGTGTCCACGGCTCGCGCCGGACTGCGCCGTGCCACGTGTGTACGCACGGCTCACGCCGCTATCGCTGAGGCCGAGCGGGCCGACGCCGGCAACCCAGAATCGGCACCGTGTTTGCGTTGGGCTATCACAGCGGCTATCGTGTCCGGCGGCCGACCGATCAGGCGCCCAGACTGGTGCGTAAAGGGTACACCAGGCAGATGGCCGACCGATCCGGCGCCTAGACTGATGCGTGAAGGGTACACCCGGCCGATGGCCGACCGATCCGGCACCCAGACTGGCGCGTGAAGGGTACACCCGGCCCACGGCGCGCGCGACCCGCCAGCAACCGGACGCGGCGCCGCGGGGAGCGATTCCGCGGGTTATGCAGTGGAGATACAAGCTTCCGTTACTTTACGTCGTGTGCGGTTTGGTTGAATTTGAGCACCGCAACAACCATGCAGACAAAAGCCAGACCAGTGAGCAAAAATGGGAACCCACCACACTTCCGTCATTGGACCAGAGTTTTTACCACGAACGCCAGCGGCCTAAAGAATGGCAAGATCGAAAACCGGCACAGAAGCCCTCACAGGCCTGACAGGCGAGACGCGATCTTGGCCCGGCTCAGCCCTGTAAGCCATGTCAGGCACGGTCTCAACACGGCTACAGCGCCAGCGTGGCGCTCTTAATCCCCAAATTAGCTCTTCACGACGTGCGGGCCAAAGACGACACTGTGGCCGATACGTTTACGAGCGGACCACTTCGCTGATGACCCGACGCCGATGGTACTCGCTGGCGGTGCAGTCCCGACCCCGGCGAGGACCACCCGCTGGCGGTGCACCCCAGATCCCAGCGGGACCACCCGCTGGCGGTGCACCCCAGATCCCGGCGGGGACCACCCGCTGGCGGTGCGCACCAGATCCCAGCGGGACCACCCGCTGGCGGTGCACTCCAGACCCCGGCGGGACCACCCGCTGGCGGTGCAGATCCCGGCGGGGACCACCCGCTGGCGGTGCAGTCCCGACCCGGCGAGACCCGCTGGCGGTGCGGTCACCTGTACCCCCACCCGGGGCTCCGGGATCAGTGAGCTAATGGCGCCGTGCCAGTTCAGGGAAAACCGCCACTGCGCATGACGCCTCGCTGCTGTGGCGTCAGCCGTCTGGCCGATGATATGAATCGCGCGTGGCAATTAATCTGCCGCAAGCCGGCCTGTCTGGCCGTTCAAAGCGGCCGGGGGGCCGGCCGACACTGCGGTGGGCGGCCGGTGGGAGCGCCGCGAGTCACGGAGCGTGGGGGGGGGGGGGGGGGCGCCTCGTGGCAGACTGCCGGTACACTGAGCTGTGTTCACAGAGTATGATGCGCGGTTCCCGCGAGGTCTCCGCCACACGGCGCCCCATTTACGCGAGGTGAGCGCGCGCCGATTCGACGGAGAAATGGATCAGTCGCGGACAGGCCTCCGCTGAATAGGAGGGCCGATGGTGACTGCTGGCATACAAGGACCCATTCATCCATAAAATGCCCCGCAACACGGGTGTGACACTTAGCCATTGTACTGCCTACTATCCAATCACTGTCATCCCCCTGCTCGCAATCTCCACTTTATTTTCGCACGTTACAGCCGGCAGGCCGGGGCACAACACGCACCAGCCAGCCGTCGGCGGGCACCGGAGTGGCCTTCGGTGTGGCACCAGGAGTAGACCTCATCGCGACCGACATCCCCGCTGCACCCACAAATCCCAGCATCCGTCTACGAGCAAGCGCTTTACGACCCTGTGACATGCGAAACACCCATCGGCCCCGAGTGGATTCAGACAGGCAGAACGGAGGCGCGCGTCGGGCCGAAGGAGAGGCCGGCACGGCGAACAGGAAGAAGCGCGGTAGCGTTGGAAACTCCGCTGGCAACGCACTCTATCGCGCTGTCTGACACCTCCCACCGAGCGACCCGAGTCCGACCGACGGAGGGACGAGCTCGAGCCCGAGGGACGGAGGGACGGCCCTAAGGCCAAGGGACGAGCCCAGGCGCAAGGGATGGGCCCAAACCCGATGGACAAAGGGACGAGCCCGAGCCCGAGGGACGAGCCCAAGCCCGAGGGACGGAGGGACGGGCCCGAGCCCAAGGGACGAACCCAAACCAGAGAGACAAAGGGATGAGCCCCAGCCCGAGGGCCGGAGGGACGAGCCCGAGCCCGAGGGACGAGCCCAAGCCCAAGCCCGAGGGACGGAGGGACGGAGGGACGAGCCCGAGCCCGAGGGACAGAGGGAAGGGCCTGAGTCCGAGGGAAGAGCCGCTATGTCAACGGCCGGGGTCACCAGCAAGCATTATGCGTCACTTTATTTGACATCTGATGGCGCCAGCTGACTTTTCCGCACATGTCTCGCAGTGTGTGGGAAAATGAGCCCGAGGCAAATCACAAATCTGCCTTCCAGTCAGCAAAAGCTAAGCGATTCAGAACTTCACGAGGGTTTCTATCGCTTCCCATGCCTTTTGCATCTACTTATGATGATTCCCCACAGGCCTCCATCATCCTGTCACAGAAAGCGAGTAGAGGTGGTTCAACCTTACAGCCGCCTCCTGGTATGCACCTCTCCGCCTATCCCAGACTTGCGCGTCGCGTGCTTCCCACCAGGGCCCCAGGCTCTTCAACCGCTCGGAGAAAGCTTGAAACAACATTTAGAGGACACAACACGAGACGGGAGCGCCTCCACTGACAACTCCCACAGACCGGTCCGGTATTTCCAGCGGCGCGCCGCCCGCCGCCACCTCACCTGCAGCGAGTTCTTCATAGACGAGATGATGTTGGGCCGGCGCATGGAGCGCGTGGCGTCCGACTTGGAGCGCGGCCGGAACGAGTCGAGGAACGTGGGCTTCTTGCTGGGCGAGTCGGCCGGCGCGGCCGGCGGCGGCGTCTGCGCGCCGGCCTTGGTCGACTGCGAGACGATGTCGTCCCCCGACTTCCGTCGCTGACGACTGCCTGCCGACGGGTCAGCTCGTGTCAGGTGGGGTCAGCTGAGGTTCGGCGGGTCAGCTCGTGTCAGGCGGGGTCACCTGGGGTCAGGCGGGTCAGCTGGGGTCAGGCGGGTCAGCTAGGATCAAGCAGGGCCAGCTGGGGTAAACTGGGAGCTGGGGTCAGGCGGGGTCAGCTGGGGCCGAATGAGGCCAGTCAGGGTCAACTGGGATCAGGCGAGGTCAGCTAGGGTCAGGCGGGGTCAGCTAGGGTCAAGTGGGGTTAGCTGGAATCATTCATGCGGGCTCAGGCTGGGGTAGATGGGGCTGGGCGGGCTGCGGCGGGAGGATGAAAACCCATGTCATATGGGCGAGGGGTCAGACAGGAACAGGTGGGCCATGTGAGTACAGGTGGAATCGGACGGCGTCAGGTGGATTCAAGCAGGGTCAGGCCTGATCTGGTGGGTTTATCTATTTGGGTTCATGTGGGGTCAGACAGGGTCAGGTGGGCGTGGGGTCAGACGCGGTCAGACTGGGTCAGGTGGGGTGAGGTGGCACACGAAGAGGTGGGTTCAGACGGGTCAGGTGGGGTCATATTGCTCCGAGGCTCCGTGTGGTACCGTCGGGCCGCTGAGGTGCCGGGGACGGTAACACGGCTGACCGGTACTGACGAACTCGGAGAACTGACCTCAACGGGCCAGGTGGGCGTCAGTGTAATCGCAAGGTGATGTATGAGAACCACAGGGGACACGCAAACGAAAGGAAGGTCAGATGAAGGGCACTGCCTGCCTGAGGTCAGGGGGATCAAACACGCACCACACCAGCGGGCCAACCAGCGCGGGACGTGAACGCACGTACCACGTCGGGCCTGCCGCCCCCTGTGGCCTGTCCGCATGGTGCAGGCGGTCGGCCGGGGTCACACGCCAGCTACACCACACAACACGGACAGGCCGACTGCAGATGACCGCCTTCGCCGGCATCAGTGCACCTACGTTATCTTGGCGTGGGGACAAAGTCCATTCAACCGCCGCTGTGTCTGCCACGCGACGGGGCATGAACGAACTGCCAGGCGACGCGGCTCGCCAGGCCACCACGCGAGTTGACGCAGGGCGACCTTTCTCTTTCCCCTCCCCTCGATCCGAACTAACTTCTGTTGTTCTTTGGTCGAACGTCTCACGACGATCCAGAGTGTTGCCTTTCAGCGCAGAGACGGCGGCGCGGCGCAGACCCGGGCGCGACTAATCGCGCTCATCAGCGCAACTACTGCCAGAGTGTCGTATAAAGCCAAAAAGCGTACGTCGACTCCCAGGTCAACGCCGCCTCATGAGTCAGGCCAGTCCTCGCTTCGCCGCGGCATCTCACGCAGCCGCTGGCCCGACAGCATCCCAGCCCAATGTGTGCTGGCCGCGCGTAAACGACTCGGTCCGGTTTGACAACCCGACGTCCGGTCCACCCACGGGCGGCTGAAAAACCGCCCGACTCCAGCTCCCCTCGTGGCGCGGCGCGCTCAGATCGGGTTCCAGCCCGGCGCACCACCGGCGGCGCCAGCAGGCCTGACCATCCCAAGGCCAGCCGGCCCGGTACGGCTGCACGGGGGGCGCCGGGGGCGCCGGGGGCGTGGCCTGACGACGGCCAGCCCCCGACTGAGATCGGCTCGGGGCGCACGGCGCGGCCGACAGCTCCGCGCGCCAGACAGGGCCGCCGGCGCAGCGAGACGTGGGGCGAGGGGTGACGGGCGGACTGAGCCCGTCACAACGACGCTGAGCCACGGCGGCGCCCGCGCTGCCTTTGAGCTGGTTTGCGGTGCGCAGCTGCAGCGCTGTGAGGAGAGCGTGGGGTTGTCGATGGTTGTCGAGCGGCGAAACGTGTGAGGCGATATCCCACACTCGGAGCAACAAGCCAACTCGGCTTGCAGTCGGCTTCGCGACGACCTCCATAAATCACCGCTGGCCCAGCTGGCACGCTGTTCCCCCTCCTTCATCGAGCCGTCAGCCCAGGTAGCCAAGTTCCTCATCCGTCAAGCTGTCCTCGGAGGACACCCCAATCAATGAGCCGTCACCGGACATCGAGCACTCTCGACCAGCACTGACAGCAGCCACGCCGGAACAAACACAGCCTCCCACGCAGCTGCCACCTTTGCGGTTACTGAAATAGGTCATGTCACCTCCTACATTCCCAAGCCTGGCCTATCCCACCAGCAGTCAAGGCCGCATTGAAGAGAACTCGAGCGCGACGTGCCCCGCAGGAAGAACAGCAGCCGGAGTCCTTCAGCAAGCCGAGAGCCACTGAGTACACCGAGAGCAGACGTTCGGTGGCAAGAACCGGGGACGAGAACCGGTCACCACACGCCGGCAGTCACACCTCAGCCACACAGGCACAATCAGTCACACAGCAGCCATACAGGCAGACTCACACCCCAGTCACACAGGCACAATCAGACACACATCAATCTCATACAGGCACAATCAGTCACACCTCAGTCAGACAGGCACAATCAGCCACACCTCAGTCACACAGGCACAATCAGTCACACCTCAGTCACACAGGCACAATCAGCCACACCTCAATCACACAGGCACAATCAGTCACACCTCAGTCACACAAGCACTATCAGTCACACAGCAGCCACACAGGCACAGACACACCTCAGTCACAGAGGCACAACCACTCACACAGCAGTCACACGGGCACAATCAGCCACACCTCAGTCTCAAACGGGCGCAATGAGGCACGCTGAATAAACCGATCATAGCACAGCACCGCCACGCCAATTTCCCCGCCAGGGACAACGATGCGGCCCACACGAAGGTGGAGTTTCTGCGCCGGCCGTGGCGTTAGGCCCGGTGCGCGTCTCGTACGGATTTCGTGAGCAAATGTAGCAAACACTGAAAGTGATGAGGTGAGACGTACCTCTGAACATGACTTTGAACATGGCGGGGGACACTCCCGTTCACATGCCGTTATGCAGAACGTTAGCAGGCTGATTTTAGGACTGATGTGTTCTAGCTTGCCTCGGCACCCATTGCGGGATCCGAACATGACGAGGAATGGCGGAAAAGGTCACGAGGCAGCGAGCACAAAGTTCATCGATACTGACACTACAACGACTTGCTGACCATGAACACCTGGATAAAAATGCCGCAAAATAATTTATTGTAAAATATATACAAACGTGCCCTGTACAATTGACCACTCCGGTACTTCTACTTCCAACTAAACCGTCTGTTTGCATCCTCTGTTGTATTTACGAAAAACTGTCAAACTGGTTTCACTGTTTCTCAATTCTGACGCACAAACATTCAGGTATGCACCGAATCGACTCTTCCGTTCCGGGGAAACTACTCAAATATAAACAACGGCGCCAGGTATTGTTTCTAATTAGCGACGCCGCCAGATAACCCCCAGCGGAGCGATCCGTTAGCTTCGTTGCTCGTCCGGCACACAGGTGGAGCTAGTGTACGACCCACTTGCATACTTCCAGGGACTGGCGAAGCACCCTACACGACAGCCGGAAGCACACGATTATCTTCATATAACCCAATCGCAGTCGAGCGATCCGACCCTCCCCTTCCGAGCGCGCTCCCCGCACGCCCCCACCCCCACACGAGGACCCGTTCCCCGCGCACCACCAGCGTACCTGGAGGACCCGCCAGGTGGCGCGAATGTCCCAGGGACCATGTGCCGGCGCGCGGCCGGGCGCCGCCCTGCGCGCCCGGCTCCGGTGGCGCCATCTGCTCCGACTTGCCCGACAGCGCTCCCGAGCCGGGTGACTCCTCCTCCTCCTGGAACAGGGCACGGGCCACGTCAGGTAGGGCACAGCAGGGCGGGTGTGGCGACGGAGGGCGTGGTCACCGAGACGGAAGGCGCTGCGCAGACGGGCGACACCAGACGACCAGAACAGGGGCACACGCCGAGTGAAGGGCACAGGGCGTGCAGCACACCAGGATCACCAAGTCCAATGCGTGACAGTTTAAAACGTGATGAGGGCTTCATCAAAGTTCGGAGCCCTCGGTACGTTCTGTACAGACATTGCACAACGGAGGACGCACCTTGAAAATAAATATCACTGGAAAACACGGCCCCGCGAAGCCCTCATCACACACGCGCCGTAGTCCGGCGAGTCGAGGCGGCTACCTGTTACACCGTGTCTCGACCAACGATGGCGGACGCAGAGGAGGTCGTACTGTTCATCGCAGTACGTGCGGTGTCTTTTTTCAACCGGTTACGCGAAACACGCCACCACAACCTTCCTATGAAGCGCCAGCGAATGCAGTGACTCACAGAAACGTGCATACAATGTCGGCTGGCTCTCCAGCAGCCGAATCACACCGGTACCGAACCCTCCCAGCAGCTACGTCTACGACACCACAGCGCCCCTCACATCGGGGACGGCTCTGAGCTGGTCGCAGTCGGATGGTGCCTCCCGGCTCCGGGCGGCTTTAGAGCGCGTGGGCGCCCTGACGCCGCCAGCCGGCCATAGCGTGATGACCGGGAGCCGACTGGCTCAACTAGCGTCAGCCGCGTGGCACGGACGTGCGCCGACAATTAATGTCGAGCAGCGGAGGCGGATGATGAGATGGCGACACACATGACGCCCACGTCAGCGGCGCAGATCGCCGAGGCAAGGGGCTTCCTCGCTGAGACACACGGCGCGCTGGTGCTTGTCTCCTTGTAGCGATAGCTGGCTTGTCAAGGGTGATCCAACAAAGTGGAGGGCACGGGAGATGGATGAGATTAAAAGCCTCGAGGACAGCGAGCTGGCCCACAGCGTGGCGATGAGTCAAAGCATATATGTGAAATCAATACGCTGCGAGCTGGCAGCTTCCCACCACCAGTCTCGCAGTCTGTCTTGAAAGAGAGACGTAGATGACAACAGCGGGTGTTTTCCAGCCCTTTCTGATCGCATCTCTCCACAAACTTCACTCCGTCGAAGACCACCACGCATGGTGTCTTTCGGCAGCCTCTCATATTATGCAGATGGCCTGCCGAATCAAATGGCTTCTCCATCACGTAGTCAATAACGGAGGCTCATCACTGAGCGCATTTCAGCATGTCCGGAGCGTGGTCAATACGCAATACCATGGTCTACCTTTGCGCATCAGAATCGACGGAAAACCCCGAGCAATATACCTTAATGGGGTCGGCGCATACTAAAGGAGCCATTGTGTTCCAGCAAGCCGCCTAAGCGCAACGTGCAAACTATCAACACATAATGCGGCAGCATTCCTTTCCTATAATCCTCGGTCCCCAAAGCGTTCGCGGCGCCCCCTCGGCCCACCGGCATCTCTGTTTCATTACCGCGGACCAGCCACTTCCAACTTCTATGAGGATCAGGTGCTGTCCCGACGCCTCTCAGTATTCAGGCTGGGAGCCTGCCCCTCCATCAGGAACGAGCCCCGGGGCGCGGCCCGCAGACGATCCTCGAGCCCCGGGCGTTTCGGTCGTCCGTTCGATGGCGTCCGATGGCGGCCGCGCGCTACCATCAAAGCGGCGCGATGGCACCGCGAGAACAGACGAATGTGCGGCGCTGGGAGGAAGGGAAGGGTGGAATGTCAGGAGAGGGTGCACAGACCGACAGGGAGTGAGACAGAAAACACAAGGCATGCGCCGACAGGGCGATCATGAGAGAGGAGGGGGACCATGACGGAGACATCATATCTCTGCATAGGAAGCACGCCGGCAAAATCAACAGACACCCACAACCATTACCGCGAACAAAGTGTCGCAGTGGCCACCGGTCCGGACGCCCGCTCCCCTCCCCCAGCCGGTAATCGACCCACGACTTCAGACTGCCAGCAAAGTCCCCCCCCCCCCCCATCAGCGGGATGACCACGGCGCTGCAGAGCGGCGCCGCAGACCGGGCAGCCGGTAGCCGCGCCTCGGGAGCACGCCGCCGCCCTCGGCCGCCCGGGGAGCCGCGGCGCGCTGGTGGCCCGGCGAGCGGCGGCCGACGGGCACCACCTTAGCTGGGGAACGGTGCTGGCGCGCCGCGCGATCACATTGTGTACGCGCGATGACTGAATATCGCAATGCCTGTAGTGGTTGCATCACATGTGACATGTTCCGTAGTTTTGCTTTCATCTATAATGTTGCGTGCTCTTAACTAAGGAAACAAGGTTATATGACGTTGGCGGTGAAGGCCAGCGTCATCACAGCCTAAAAACAAGGCAAAATGCACCGACAAACAAACCTGCCTCTCGTGTCACCACATGCCTCTCGTGGTGAACTGCGCACCAAATCGTCGGATGGATTAGACCACAGGAACAGTCCACAATGTCCCGGTCTGTGCGATGCATCCATGATAGAGGCCTGAACCTCATCTCATTCAGTGATGTAACCGGGCAAAACCGAAGAGCCCGGCACGGCAAAAACACGTCTTTCTGCCGAACCTCCGCCCTCCAACCAAATTACAATATCAGCACTCAATGCACCGTTCAGGCCACACGAAAACAGCACGGCTGGGCCGCCCGGTGCTGCACCAGGTCCGGTCCGGCTGCGCCCCGCCGAGAAACGAGGAAACCCTCTCGGCGCCCCGTCAATTACCGCCGAGCGCGCCGCCGGTCTCGCGCGCCCGCTCGGTCGGAATGCCGGCTGCTGCCCAGGTCAGAGCGCAACGCGCATGCGCACTGCGCTCCCACGTGAAAAAGGAGCGGCGGCTGCGTCGGGCCGCTGACATGGGCGGGATCGATGGCGCCGGACACCGCTGGAGTCGTCCCGTCGGTGCAGCTTCGGTCCCGGCCCCGCGGCGCCACAGGTGTGTCCGGTGGCCGCGCCGGGTCAGCGGTAACGTGACCGGCGGGGCGGGGCGGCCCGGGCACACAAACACCGGGTCGCGCCGCATCGTCAGCGTGCTACAGCAATGCTCGTGAGAAGCATATGGGCACCACCGTCCGAGCACATTCCACGGCCGTCCGAGGAAATTTCGGGGATCACTGCGGTCATTTGTGGTTATTCCGGGAGACCATCGCAATTGTCGTTGTATGAGCATTGCGAAACACAAACATTCACCCACAGTTCAATTTCAGCTTTCGGCTCAGGATGGCAGATAACTGCCATCCACCGTCAAATATTGTACAACAGTGTACAAATCACCGCCCCATCATCGGTCACAGTCCTCGGACAGCCAGTGAGAGGATAAACACCGGGCTGCTGGAGTTATCGGAATGAGCAGCACGTAACCGCGGCGGCTGCCTCAATATCTGCAGCCTCCAGTGACGTCAGCCACGGGCAAGCCTTCGGGATCGGCATGCGCTGGATTCCACTCCGGTCCGGATCGGCATGCGCCGGATTCCACTCCGGTCCGGATCGGCATGCGCTGGATTCCACTCCGGTCCGATCAGTTACGGGCCCCTTGTTCCGATTACCGCGGCACAATTTTCAGCCAGTACCGATCCCGGCTCCGGATCGATTTCGATGGGATCGATTCCGATGACGACAGCTCTGGAGATGAAGTGCTCCGTGATTTCCACATAGCCTACATTGGGCATGCCTTTCCACAATATGACAGCTACACATCCAGCGATTTACTTTCTTGTGCGTATGACAGCTGCCACAATACGAATGCTCGCTGATACTACACTACGAGAGTACTTTTCTATTTGATTTGACAACCTTTGACTCATAGAACGCAACGAACTCAACTCAAACTCTGACTCCCACATCTCGCAAAATGTTAAACGCACGCTCCGTGACCCATCCAGCGCCGAGGCGCGCCATGGTCGGCCCGTGAACGCCCGGCCAGTTCAATGGCGACATTTCCGCTCTCTGATCACTGACGTCCCCATACGAACTGTACCGCGGGGCCTGCTGCCAGCGGGCTCCACCATCCGAAGACCCACAGGCGGCAGCGCCCTCCGCGCGGCCGTCCCGGCGGCGGCGGCCGGACTGCCCCCCCCCCCCCCCCCCCCCCAGCCACAGCTGCCCGCTGGCAGATGCCTGCCCACTGACGCGTCATTGATGGCAAAGTGGAGCTCGAGAAAAGCAGCGTGATCGCGGGTGTAATGCTGTCACAGGGTTACATCCAGACCTGGAGATGAAAAAATATTAGCTTGCTCTCGTTTTTGACGCGGTGGTTGCAAACATATCATCATTTGCAGCCCAAATCGCATGTTAAGGCCTTCAGCGAGATTGGAGAACAACGTGGCATGTCCCCCAGACCTGTGGTGGTATCATGGAAAAATGAAAACGGACTTATTGCCGTCTAGCGCTGTGAATAACAAATTCCTATTTTCGAAAACACACAAGGGTTATCTTTCCCTGAGTGCTACTTTTTAAAATATAAGAAAAAACAAGACGACCATATTTCCGAAGACCTGATCTCCCTCCGTGTGACGATGGAGTATCGCGCCCAGCTGACCTCGTCATTGCAGCCTCTGAGTTCGTGTGACATACCAACCCGGCAATGCGCCAACGGACAGCAGACACCGCACATTCTGGACGTCTGCAATCACTCACTGAACTCATAGAAGGGGAAGGCCAGCTCAGTCTACAAGCGTGCGCAAAACGGAGCAGCGGCGTAACAGAGGGCGGGGAAGTGACGTTCAACGCACGCAAATCCGAGAAAGGAGGCAGCAGCGGCCCCATACACAGTTCTCAAGAAATCGCTACAGGCCATGCCATTAGGCCAAATGTTTGCTTCCGTTGCTCTATTTTCGGCCACAATGTAGCAGCGCAACACAAATAACGGAGAAATAACTTTGACGATTACCATCGAAGCGGATGATTGGTAATCGTTCATCGTGGCGAGGATTCGATCTACGTATTGATCAATACGACACTGCCA